GTAATTATGCGGTTTTAGAAGTAAAACATTGAACTCCACGTTTTAAATAGTAAAATTAAGATCGTTGTATTTTAAAAATAAAATGAAGGCCTAGTCTTTTTGTCTAATTGTAAAATATCTAAAATATTTAGCACTTTATATCTTAACAGTAACATCTAAAATAATTAGCGCTTTATATCTTTAACAGTAACATATCTAAAATAGTTCATCTAAAACATAATTAAAATCGTCTTTAAAAATCAGTTTTACACGAAGTTTGAAAAATAAATTAATTTTAAAAAATCCAACAATAAATACAAAAAAAGTGTTACTCTAAACATAACATTGCATAATATAATATATAATGCCGATAGATATGATGAAATAATAAAACCATATCATGTACCTGTTAATTAAATACTGGGTTACTTGCTAACAAAGATTGTTTAATTCTTGCAACACTCTATGTTTGTTACAATAAAATTGTTTTTTTTTTTTTAGATAAAAAGAGTTCGCTTAATTTTAAACAATAAAATACTTCACCAAACACGACGCGAAACAAACTACAAAAAGCGCATTTCCCCCACTAGATTAGACCACGCATGCGTATCAATATAGTCGAAATATCAGCCTCATTCACACAATAAAATTTCTTTTTACTCATTCAATTTTTTTTCCAAAGGCTTAACGGTCGCAGACTAACAGACGCTGTTGTGTTCATGGAAGTATAAAGTGGTTAAGGGAAGACTTTCGGCTTTTCCTCCCCATAATGCTGTTTAATCGCACGTGCTAATTATGAGCTCCCGTCCACACTCAGGACAAATGTCGCGCTGATTCTCCTAGCCTGGTGTGATTACCTACATAAATAGTCGGCTTGTCTCCGTGCACTTCTAAAGGAATATTTTTTTTCCGGGAAATCCCGATACAGTTCGGTGCGCAAATAGTCATCTGTTAACGTACACCGCGAATATCCCAAGACACCCCCTTTCATCTTGTATTTGATATCACTCTTATGTAACGTAGAGGGGAGGGGTGAATCTATAGCGGCGACAACGTTAAAAAAAAAAAAAGAGTGATGCATTATAGCCCTTTGTTGTCGTTTCCCCCTCCGGATTGCCTTATCCCTTCACACTGAATCGTGTTTTTTTTTCAGACAGACTTTACCCTATGATTAGGAATTTAATTACAAGATAAAATGAGTTAGGGACAATATTTGTTTCAGCTGTTACCTTTCATGTTGGCTTGTTGAGTTTTTCCATAAAGGTTTTTCTGTTTACCAGTTTAGTGTTGTATTCCAGCACATATTGAATCAATACAGTCAGGGGAAACTACTCACATTTTTATGAGATTTTGTAATCAAATGAGGATTTTGAAACACATTGAGACATTTTATGAAGCACAATATTAAGACATATTTTTTTTTAGAAAATGTATATTTATCTCAAGTATTTTAAAAATGCATAATGATGCGAATACAATATTTTTTTTATTTTATTACTGTAAACCTACCCACTATATATTATTAAAACGTCAGAAGGATAAATTCCAGACTATATAATTCAATAATACTCTGCAGCTGCATGTCAGCAATTCCTTAATAAAATTATTTTTCACATCATTAGTAATAAAAAAAAAAAAATAAATAAATAAAAAAAAAAATAAAAAATAGCAAGCTAATGAGGGATTAATTTTTTTGAAAATAATTCACTTCATGAACAGTGTACACTATATCTGTTAGCTACTTATTTAAACTTGTGTGTATTTCCATTTGGAACCTTGTGTGTGTGTTTTTTTTTCCACATTTTATAAATTGTAAGTACTTTTTTCTTTTTTTATTTCGTGTGTGTGTTGCCTGGCCCCTGGTGGGCCTCACGCACAACTATGTCGGAAAAATACATCAAACGGCTATTCCTGCCTAAGTTTGGCATGGCAGGACATGCGCCAAAAACTCTAGAGATTTTCATAGAAGAGGGTTTTTCTTCAGCTACCCTCACAGCTGACGAACTAAAAAGACAGCTATGTATGTTATGTAGCCTATCACCAGCTGAATTTGAGAGTCTGTATAACTACGGGGCACTGCGTAAATGGTATGTCACCATTAGATCAAAGGAACTATATGAGAAAATGCACCTAAAAGAATTTCACAGAGATTTGCCACCTGGGGTAACATCCAGATACAGAGTGCAGAGAATATCAATAACCCACGCCGATAAATCTGGGCAAAGGGGCATGCTGAAATGGCTGCCTTCCAAGACAAGCGACGATGATATAATGGCAATTCTGAAATCTATACGCAGTCAGGACTCAACACCAACATTTAAGAGAATAGACTAATCAAATGTGGTCCAATTCACCATCTCTCTGGAGAAAGAAGATCTGGAGAGTGTGCCACACTATATTATACTTACAAATGAGGCCAACAAGGAGAGCAGGGTCCTTATAATCCTCAATGGGAGGAGGGTGCAATGTTGCCACTGCAACACAGACAGGCACCTGCCTAAAATGTGTGAGCATTTGAGGACTCGCGCTCTTGACGGCGTCCAGCTAGTAGATGGACAGTACAGGGCAATTGAGCCTTGGGATGCAAATGATAAAGAAGAAGTTAGGGAGCATCTAAATAACAATAGAAATTTCTTAAAGCATTGGGACAGTTATGATGTTGACGGAGAAAGACAAAATGAAATGCTTAGAGAAGCAAGGCTTAGAGAGGTAGAAGATGCCTTTGAAGTAGATGGCCAAACTGAAACACATCATACTACTGCAGCATCACAGCAAGTTAACGAAAGCGTAACAGAAACCACCATAGAGGCCGAAGCCATGGAGACAATAGCGACCAGGAATTCCATAGTAACAGGGTCTCAAAAAGATGGGGATCAAGAAAATTTGGAGGCAGTCGACGAAACAATAAATGATATTCTTCAAGATAACACTAGTTCAGAAAACATAACTAAACCGCTAAAGGAAATTAAAAGCTCACAAAATATATCAGCAACAAAGGTATCAGGTCAACTGTCATATAGTCAAGCAATCAGTTCAAGTAAAAAACAATTACCCACAGTAAAGCCATCTCAAAGGGTCGTGACCAGGGCCCAACTGGATAGCAAACCAGCGGCTGAAAAGTTTGGCGTTAAAAGACCACCACCATCCAGCCCCCCAGAAACAGATGTTCGAAAGAAAACCCCAAACAATTCATGCTAACTCTGGCAACATTGAACATCGGGCGGGGGGGGGGGGGGGGGCTAGGGACAAAACACATTATATAAACAACGTAATAAATAAACACAATATTGACATCCTACTTTTACAGGAAACTAACATTGGAACTACAGAAGAAGCAATTAAACTAGATGCATACATCGGCATCAAAAACTCACTGCACAGTACTGGTTTCAACTGCAGAGGAACCAGTTTACTTTGTACATCAGACAAACACAAAATTAAAAGTACATACACGGATAAACAGGGCAGGATAGCTTGCATCACATTGAATATTGATAATACAGAAATAACAATCATCAATGTATACGCCCCAACACAAAGACAAGAACAAAAACATTTCTACCACACGCTTAATGAACTTATAAATACCGAATACAAAAGCAAGACGATACTTTTAGCAGAAATATTTCAAGCAAAGCTAAGACATAGAATGGGAACTCTCACTTAACTGGGGAAAAAATGTACAGGAAAGCAATCAATAAAGTATTAATTTTAATTTAGACAGTCTCAAGCCAAACATCACTCGATCAGCCCTCAAGTAAATTAACATTAGAACAGTCTTCTGTTTCCCAGGTTTTTAAAAGTGTACAACCTGAATGGTAGAAAGAGATACACAACTCACCCCCCCCCCCCCCCCACACACACACATCCCCCCCCCCCCCACTCAACCGGACAGGCGGATATTTCAACAAGGTAGCGTGCCTTCATCGCCAAGGGTCAATTTAATGTCATGGAAATTTTTGGAATGATAGATCAGTATGAGTATTACAGAGACACTTCTCCCACGGTCGTTTCTATTTCTGTCCATGGGTGTCTACAATGTGAACTTTTGACTCCACAGCTAAGGACTGAGCACAGTAAACTAAGCAGTCAAGAGAAACCGAGTTTGCACACCTTATTTTAATCTAGTTCTTATGCCATTTTATTTTCTCTCTTTGATTACTATATATGCAATTGATGTTCATATCTTTGATGTTGTGTAAAACTATCAAACAAATTATTATTACTGATTTAAATGTTTAAAACAATTGATTAAAAAAAATAAAAAAATAATAATAAAAATTGAGGACTGTATAGAATATAGATATAGATGTTTGAAAGGGAAGAATGCTTTGATGTGTCTTGTTGTAATAACATAAATTTTCCGATTGCTTAAAATTTGTATCACTTTAATTCTCTGTAATCACAAATTTATTTCAGCACTACTTAAAAACCCAAATTACACCCCGCCCCCGCCCCCTCACCCACCACGCCGAGGAAAAAAGAATCCCTTGAATCATCATTTAATTACACATTTGCATTTTCAGGTTGTTTTTTATTTATTTATTTATTTATTTTATATTTAGACGTTTTGTATTAGATCTATGTATAAGTAAACCATCTTAAGTGAATGAAAGTAGGCTACAAGTAAGAAAGAAATATTACTAATGTAAATCTGTATCAGTCCTCACAAGCCGGTGATGAAAACTGTAATACTAAAGCGAACACACAACTGACGCTGTAAATTACATGTCTGAGGCCAAAAAGAAGAAAAAAGAAAAAAAAAAAAAAAAAAAAAAAGAAAAAGAAAAAAAAAACAATAAATAAAAAACAACACACGATCCCTAGGTTTAAGCTAAGGAAGAAAAGAAAAAAATCGAAGTTTAGCAGTAACACCGACATCGGCGTTACCACTAATCAAAACAACGGAATATCGTATTACTCTTTTGTACTTATTTAATAAAACAGTTTTTTTAAATAAATATGTGTGTTATTGATTTACCTGGCAACCATAACTCCAACCCTTACTCCAACCCTTACAGATCCCACCAGGTGACATCACAAGTTGGATTTTCCCTTCGAATTCCCCGCTCAACCCGGAGTTGGCTCCGCTCGAGAGGTGAGTTACTTCCCTTCCACGATGATGATCAATCACTTTATGGACACCGGCCCCGGCCCTCACGGGCTCGGCCACGGCGCCCTCAAACTCAGCCCGGGCAACCCGATGGGTGACCACACGGCCGGGCTCCACCACAACCAGTTCGCGACCCCCGCGAACGGCTACGGGATGACCCCACACAGCCATCATTCTCAGATATCAACGTACGCCGCCAGAGACTTCTTGATACGCCGGGCGGAACAGTTCAACATCCCCGGCCACGACGGCAGCGGGGGGCACGCGGGGATGTTTGGCGTCCCGTCGTCCGTCAGCATGGGGCTGCACACCCCCCACCACCCTGATTCCTCCGCTAGTCACGTTTTATTCCAGGGACTCTCAGACCCAAGTGCCGGTCATCACGTGAACACCCAGATGTTCCCTTACCACCGCCCGGACCAATTCAACCAAATGGGCCCCCCTCGGCCGGACCATTTCGGGCCCCCGCAACATTTAAATCACATGAACCCCATGGGCCACCACCGGATGAACATGGGCCCCCACGGTCCGGGGGCTTTCTACCCCTTCATGCGCCACCCCATCAAACAAGAACACACCTGCCTCTGGGTAGACCAAGACCAAGCCGAGCCTAAAAAACCCTGCAACAAAATCTTCACCACCATGCATGAGATCGTCACGCACATCTCCGTTGAGCACGTGGGCGGGCCGGAACAGGCCAACCACGCCTGCTACTGGCAGGGTTGTCCGCGGGATGGGAGGCCGTTCAAGGCCAAGTATAAGCTGGTCAACCACGTGCGGGTACACACCGGAGAAAAACCGTTCCCGTGTCCGTTCCCGGGCTGCGGGAAGGTGTTTGCCCGGTCGGAGAACCTGAAAATACACAAGCGGACCCACACAGGTGTGTACATTTTACTTTTTTCATTTGAAGATCTTCACGTAAATCTTCCTTTTTACTTATTTCATTTGCAGATCTTCGTGTAAATCTTCCTTTTTACCTGTTAATTTGCATATATTCTTTTTAGTAAATCTTCCTTTTTACATATTAATTTGCATATCCTCTTTTTACTAAATCTTCCTTTTACCAGATGTTTGTCTTCCTTTTACTAATTCATTTGTAAATTTTACTTTTTGAAATCTTACTGTTAACTTGGAAATTTGAAGAAATTACTTTTTGTAAATGTTTATTCTATTAATTATCTTTAAAAATCTTAAATTAACTAATTAAATTGCAGATCTTCCTTCTAGTATATCTACCGTTTATAAATAGTTTTATGTTTTCCTTTTTCTAATTAATTTGTAAATTTTACTTTCTGGAAATCTTCCTTTAAAAAATCTTCTTTTTTGTTACTCTTTATTTTATCAATTATCTTCTCAAATCTGACACTAATTATAATAAATGTGTAGGCCAATATCTTCCTTTTGGGGAATCTACCTTTTATCAATGATTTTGTCTACTGTCAACTAATTAATCAGTACACATTTTTACTTAAGTTGTAAATCTTCCTTTTATAAATTGAATATTCCATTTACTGTCTGTCTTCCAAATCTTCCCTTCTCTAACAATAGCAATTAACCATTGATTATTTAATTATTTAAAATATTTGCTTCACTAATTATTTTCAACAGTATTTTATTTCACAACAAAAATTCATCAGAAAAATACAGCTACACACACGTATTAAATTAATCTCTGGCCTTTTTTTACTTTGTGTGATTTACTAAGTAAATTTAATCAATTAATTAGCCGCCTTAAGGAATTTAATTCCAAACACATTGAATAATAATTTTTAACTGTAATTAACTTTTTAAAAAAATCAACTATTCTTCGTTGCTGATATCGTTGCAATAAGCAGTTGCCCGTCAATGGCAAAATGCCTTGGGTCATTTTGTTGTCGTCAGCTTAATGATAGTACCAGCATCGATTGGAAACCTTCGAGTATTCGAGTCTAGGTGGGGCAGGTTGGGGTGGAGACGGTTCGGTTAGAAATTGGTTCGTTTATCGAACTGGTGGTTTTAATCGTCTATTCTTTGTCTGGGTTTGGTGGAGAAATAGAATTAAAACATGATCTTGATGAAGTTGGGGGTAGTTTTTTTTTCTGGTGGAATTCGAGATGGGGTGAGGGAGGGGCGACTTTAGAAGGGGGTGGGAGGGAGATGTTAAAACTATTGACGTTGAGAGTAGATATGATTTACCGTATAAAACCATTCATCAGCAAATGAGTATTTAGGTAATAGTGAATTTGGAGGATCTTAAGAGTGACCATGCTGACCTTTAAATTGGTATTTGGGTAGTTCTGAGTAAGGAATACTTCCAGGGTTAAGATATTAACTGGTAAAGTGGTAAATGGAGGAACTAGAGGTATATTCTGTTTATGATTTAGTAGGATCCGATTTTGATTTTGTTGTTGTTTTTGTTCAGTCTAATATTCTACATTATCAAGTAAATTGTGTTGGTAACTATTTACAATATGAAATAACACACCTTTAAAATAAGACTTAAATCACTGGTTCCGATGATGAGTGTTTCATTCAATTGTGGTAATACAATTGTGGTAATACAGTTGTGGTAATACAGTTGTGGTAATACAGTTGTGGTAATACAGTTGTGGTAATACAGTTGTGGTAATACAATTGTGGTAATACAGTTGTGGTAATACAGTTGTGGTAATACAGTTGTGGTAATACAGTTGTGGTAATACAGTTGCTGCTGGTTTTGTTTCGGTATTTTCGCATGTACAGTTAGATGGAGGTTATGCCTTGTGGTGTTGAGTAGTGTTAGGATTAGCTTTAGTTTAGGGGTTATGGCCAGGATTGGGTTGGATTGAAACAAAGATGTAGAAGGTTTTAAGACTAGATTTAGGTTAGGGTTATGATGAAGAATAGGCAGGGTTAACGTCGCTACACACGTGTGGTTACCTGTCTTTGGCTACCATCTAATTGTGTGTGTGTGGGTATCACTTCTACCTATGTTGTTATCTGTCTCAGGCTACCGTCTGAGTGAGTGGCTAGCCCTGTTACCCGTGTGGATACCTGTCTGTGGCTACTATCTCCCTCTCTCTTAGGCTACCCCTGCTACATATAAAGTTACCTTTTGTGTCTCCCCTCTACCTGTGTGTGTGGCTACCAATATTGTTATTTGTCTGAGGATACCCTTAGTGTGTGACTAACTCTGCTACCTGTCTGGATACGTGTCTGTGGCTACCTTGGCTACCTCTGAAGTTACCTTCTGTGGCTACCCTCTGTCAATGTGTGTGACTTACAATGTAGTTATCTTTCTGAGGCTACCCTGAGTGTGTAACTACTTCTGCTACCTGTATGGCTTCCTGTATGTGGCTACCCTCTCCCTCTACCACTGCTAAAGTTCCCTTTTGCTGCTCCCCTCTACCTCAGTGAGTGGCTACCAATTTCGCTATCTGTCTGAGGCTAGCCTTAGTGTGTGACTACTTCTGCTACCTGTGTGGATACGTGTCTATGTCTATCCTTGCTACCTCTAAACTTCCCTTCTGTTGCTCCCCTCTACCTATGTGTGTGGCTACCAATATTGTTATCTGTCTGACACTACCCTCTCCACCCTATGTATGGCTACCGCCTGCTACCTGTGTGTAGCCTTGCAACTCTACCCTATGTAAACACCCACCGCCGTAACGGGCCGACGGTAACGATCAGTCTATCGATTCTCAACCTGTGTCCCCTGGCCCGCCTCACAACTCTAACCCCACCAGTCGGCTGTCCCCCCACATAGAGTAAACCGGTCCCTCATTGTTCTCCTAGCATCCAGTACTCACCCAACAATACAATATAACTCTACGCATGCTGGGGGCTGGGGGGTAGTGGAGGCAGGGGGTAGGGGAAAATGTAGAGGACGTAATTGTTATATATTTACATTCACCGCGAGCTGTTAAAAAAATGTTTGTGAGGTTGTATGTTGCTAAGCGTTTAGTGTGGCAGGGTATTCTTTTCGCTAAGGCTGAGTGCACACGGTAATGCTGTGACTAACTCGGGCGTCGACAACCTGACATGTGAATATTATTTTGGTTGATTGCTAATTATTGATCATCGGTGTGAAAAGGTAAAGTTTGACTTGATGGGCAACTGCATGAGTTGATGGCGTGGGTTCTATTGTCTTATATCGCAATGTTCAAGTTTGATTTGATGGTTTACTGAAATGGTTGATGAGTTGCTTCTATTGTCTTATATCGCTATGTTAAGGTTTAAGTATCTTGTTCATATAGCTCAATTTTTTTTTAAATTTTGAAAACAATTTATGAATACATAAGCCCTCGAACATACATATATTTGTATTTGATATTACATACACAATTTGCATGAAAATGTTACAAAAATACTACAAATATACATTACACATATAGACTATAAATTGCACGTTGCATAAAAAAAAAAAAAAAAAAAAAAAAAAAAAAAAAACAGAGTGTAGGCTTAAAAAAATTTTTAAGTTACAAGCAAGCAGATAGCCGTAACAAATACCAGTGTAAAATATGACTCATACATTACACATACGGTATTAATGTCTTTAATTTTTTACGAGTTTCACAGTAAGGAACATAAAAAATTAAATTACAATTAAATATTTCACACAATATGTATGATAAAATAAATTAAAGAACGACTTGCTAACACTTCCAAAATAAACCATGAGCTAAACTTCTTTTCCCCGACATATAACACTGAAATAAAGTGTACATATAACGAATGTGTTTTACTAATCCAGCAAATGTCAATACTTGGCATTGCTTTCAAAAATAATGTTGTTCTGTCAGTCTTACATACTTTGTAACATGAAAATGTTTACGTTAGGAGAAACTACAATCAATAATCAACAATATAGACCCGTTCCTTTAACAAACCCACTGCTTCGGAATGGTCAGAATTTACTGACCCACTAATTGCTCACTTTTTGCTTTCCGCGCGTGCCATAGACTCCCGCCCATACCCCTCCCCCCTCGCGAGTAGCGTGCTCACGGACAGAGGTCAGTGGGGTCACGAGGTCAGGGGAAAGGCTGTGACTGTCCGGGGGGTCGGGCAGTGAGTGTCCATCACGTGACGGAATCGATGCGACTGCTGATGACGTTCTCATCCGTTAACGCTAATCCTAGCCGACGTGCGATTATCTCTAATCGTTTTATTACGTCACGTCCAGCTCTCGTTTCGCTGTTTGCTTTGGTCAACTGTTTATAAGGCTATTTCTTTAATGTGTCTTAGTTGAGTAATTGTACACATATTATATAATTAATTTTTTTTATCTTTAGCCACCGCCCCCTACCCCTCTCCTTGTAATGTTAAGAATCCCCACAAACAGCCTTCGCTCATCACACATAACAATACAAATATAAAATGTTAAAGCTAATATATAGCTTACTTTATAACAACATTAAATGTATACAATGTATTGTAGCTTCACATATAATATATCGTAAAACACATATGGTACACGTTTATGTTTATAACCGCTTAGCCAAAACATAAAAAAAACACCTTGGATTATCTTCACATAATCAACCATGGATTAGGTTTTAGATTAACATTTATTTTTATTTTATATTAGACCATAACGATACTAGCATAGCTTCCCTATACTAAAATAACGTTAAGAAAAATCGATACTCATCTATTGCAAACAAAAGCATATTCTTGCTTTAAAGATTTTATAAATAGACCTGTGGTAAGTGGGTAATCTAGCAGTTTAAAAACGTGTAATTGCGCTAGATCTCGTGAGCTAAACTGGAGTCTGCCGGTGAGAAAATTGCTGCTCAGCCGTCGTCTGACGTCTGTCATCACCCCCAGTAATCACGGATCTGCTGCCGCTGATGGCGATTTGAAACCACTCACTTTAGTTTGTTATTGATTTAGATCAACACAGTAATCCGTTTTGTTTTAGTG